AATAAAGAGGACTGGAGAGATGGCTTAGCAGTTAAGAGTGCTACTTGCTCTTTTAGAGGACCTAAGTTCCATTCCCAGCACTCAAGTTGGGCATCTCTCACAACTGCTTGTAACTCCAGCTCCAGGGGATCTGACACAGTCTTATGAACACTGAGGGCACATGCACTCATGTGAACATACACACAGATGCATACATATACATATACTTAAAAAAATAAAATAATCCTTTTTTTTTCAATTGAGACAGGGTCTCTCTGTAGCCCCAGCTAGTCTGAAACTCACTATGTAGACCAGGCAGGTCTTGAACTCACAGAGATCCCTGCCTCTGCCTCCCAAGTGCTGAGATTAAAGGCATGTGCCACAGCACCCGCTTAAAATAATCTTTTTAAAAAGAAAATAATAAAAAAAATAAAAATAATTTTAAAAGAAAATAAATAAAAATAAGGGACTGAGGATGTAACTCAGTTGACAGAGTATCTGCCTAGCATGCAGGAAGCCCCAGGTTTGATCCCCAGAACTTAACTGAGCATGATGGTACAGTATACCTGTAATCCCAGTACTCTGAAGATGAACGCAGGAAGATCAGAAGTTCAAGGTCATCCTTCAGTGCATGGCCAGTTTGAGGTCAGCCTGGGTTACATGAGAACTTGTTTAAAAAATAAATGAAGAAACAAACAACAAACAAAACAACCAAAATCTTGAAACCAGAGGTGGAACTATTACACTGAACCATAAACAATTCAACTGCTTATTAGGGCAAAACATCACATTCATTAAAGAAAGGTAAGGTGCCGGGTGTGGTGGTGCACGCCTTTAATCCCAGCACTCGGGAGGCAGAGGCAGGCAGATCTCTGTGAGTTCAAGGCCAGCCTGGTCTACATAGTGAGTTCCAGGACAGCTGGGGCTACAGGGAGACCCTGTCTCAAAAAGACAAAAAAAAAAAAAAGGATAATAAATGAATGCTGGGTTTTGAACCATTTTATGCCAATATATTTGACAATTTAGATAAAATAGATTTATTTATTTATTTATTTATTTATTTATTTATTTATTTATTTATTGCTATGTCGCTCTTGTTAACTTCAAGCTTGTGATTGTCTTGCTTTCCTTCTGGAGTGCTGGGATTACAGACAATACCTGGCTCGAAAAAATTTCTTGATAGACACAGATTACCAGAACAGATTTAAGAAAAGTAGAAACTCAGAATAGTTCTTTTTTTTTTTTTTTGTCTTTTTTTTTGAGACAGGGTTTCCTTGTAGCCCCAGCTGACTTGGAACTCACTATGTAGACCAGGTTGGCCTCGAATTCACAAAGATCCGCCTGCCTCTGCCTCCCAAGTGCTGGGACTAAAGGTGTGCGTCACCACACCTGGCATCAGAATAGTTCTTTTATTTATTTATTCTTGTTTTGTTTTCTGAGACAGGGTTTCCCTGTAGCCTCATTTGGCCTAACTTGCTATGCAGACCAGGCTGATCTTGAACCGTGAGTTCTATACCTGCATCTGCCTCCTGAGGAGTGTTGGGATTAAAGGAGTGCCACCATGCCTGTTTTTTTTTGTTGTTGTTGTTTTTGTTTTTGGTCTTTTTAAGACAGGGTCTCCCTGTAGCCCCAGCTGTCCTGGAAGTCACTATGTACACCAGGCTGGCCTTGAACTCACAGAGATCTGCCTGCCTCTGCCTCCCGAGTGCTGGGATTAAAGCCATTTGCCACCATGCCCCGCCATGCCTGTCTTTTTAAATTTTTATTTGTGTGTATGAGTGTTTTGCTTGCATGTATATAAGTACACCATGTGTGTGCAAAGTTATGGAGGCCAGAAGAGGGCACTGGAGTCCTTGGTACAGTCCTAGGAACTGAACCCAGGTCCTTTGCAAGAGCAACCAGTGCTCTTAACCACTAAGACATCTTGCCATCCTCTCTAAATAGTCTTATACTTATCGGAAATTAAATTTATCCCAACTGTGGTGGTGCACACCTGTAATTCCAGAATTTAGGAGGCAGAGCAGGATTACAAATTTAAGGCCAGTGTAGGCTACATGGGGAGACCATTTTGCAAGAAATGAAAAATCTAAAATGAAAATTCACCTAGTAATATTGCTAAGAGAAAACTTTAAAAGTTCTAAATAAATGGAGAGTTATATCATGTGCATGGATCAGACTATTAAATATTGCTAAGAGGTTAACTTTATACAAATTGATGTATAGATTAAATTTAATAACTATCAAAATCCCAGCAGTTTTTTAGATTAACAAATTTTCTTTTTTTTAAATTTTATTTAATGTATATGAGTGTATTGCCTGCGTGTATGGGAGTGCACTCGTGTCGTGCAATGCTGCGGAGGTCAGATGAGGGCTTCAGATTCCCTGGAACTGGAGTTAAGGACAGCTCGTATCTGCCATGTGGGTGCTGGGAATCAAATTCGGGTCCTCTGGAAGGGCAGTCAGTGCTCTTAACCACTGAGCAATCTCTCCAGCCCCACAAATTTTCTTTTCTTTTTAAAAATATTTTATTATTTTTTAATTTTATGTGTGTGAGTACTTTATGTGTATTGTCTGCTTGTGTGTAAGTGCACCTGTGTTGTGCAATGTCTGAGGAGGTCAGAAGAGGGTTCCCTGGAACTGGAGTTACAGATGGTTGTTAGCTGCCATGTGGGTGCTAGGAATCAAACCCTCTGCAAGAGCAGCCAGTGCTCTTAACTACTGAGCCATCTTTCCAACCCCACAAGTTTTATTTCCTTATTGCATTTGGAAGTGCAAATAACTTTGAGCCATTTAAATATTTCAAAAAAGAGGGGCTGGACGGATGGCTCAGTGGTTAGGAGCACTGACTGCTCTTGCAGAGGACCCAGGTTCCATTTCCAGCACCCACATGGCAGCTACAAACTGTCCTTAACTCCAGGAGGTTCCAGGGGAATCTGAAGCCCTCTTCTGACCTCCTCAGCATTGCATGACACGGATGCACTCACATGCATGCAGGCAATACACTCATACACATAAAATAAAAATAATAAATAAAATATTTAAACATTTCAAAAAAGAGTAACAAAGTTTGAAGACTTATACTAACTTTAAAGCTTATAAGAAAACTACATTAATAAAGACATGGCATTGCATAGGGGTAGGTAAATAGATAAACAGAATCAGATAGAGTTCAGACACAGATCAATCCATATTTGGTCAATTAATTTTTAGCCCAGGGGTCAAGGTAATTTAATGGTCAGTCTCAGACCCTTTTATTTTAAATCTTTTCTTAGATTACTATAACAGCCAACATGATGTAAGTGCTATGAAAATAGCTGTTTGCTATATTCTTTTTAAAAGTTTTTATTTTTACTTTATATGTATCAATATTTTGCCTTCATGTATGTGCATGCAATGCCCACAAAGACCAGAAGAGGGAATTGGATCCTCTGGAACTGTAGTTTTGGATGGTTGTTATCAACCATGTGGATGCTGGGGACTGAACCTGGGTCCTCTAGAAAGGCAGCAAGTGCTCTTAACCATTTCTACAGTCCCTATACTGTATTCTTCAAGGAATAATGATGAGAAAAATATCTAAACGTACTCAGTTACAGGTGTGTTCTCCCCTCCCCCAAAGCCTGGTTGTTCAATCTGTTCTTTTGTTTTGTTTTGTTGTGCTGGGGATGAAGCCTGGGCTTCCAGCATGTCAGTCAAGTGCTTCTCAGCTCCTGTGCAATTATTTCTTTGACTGATTTAAAGAAAGCTGAGATTTCTGTTTGTTGAGGCAGTCTTGTTCCATAGCCCAGCCTGGCCTGGAACCCTCTAGCCCCCTGCTTCAGCTTTCCATGTGTTGGCACCATAGGTGTGCCCCACCAGAAAGTGAGTTTTATTTGTACTTATTGTTCATTAAAAAAAGATTTATTTATTTATGTGTATATGTGTTCATCTATGCCACATGTATGTGGATCCCCTGGAGCTGGAGTCACAGGCGGTTGCTGTTTTGGGGGGTTTTTTGGTCTTTTTTGAGACAGGTTCTCCCTCTAGCTCCAGCTGGCCTGGAACTCACTATGTTGACCAGGCTGGCCTTGAACTCACAGATATCTGCCTGCCTCTGCCTCCTAAGTGCTGGGATTAAAGGTGTGTGCCACCACACTTATTGAGTTACAGGCAGTTATAAGCTTCCTGATATGGGTTTTGGGAATCAAACTTGGGTCCTCTGGATCAAAAGTTCTCCTAACCACTGAACAATCTCTTCAGCTCCTTTAATTTTTTGAGACAGTTTCTCAGTTTATAGCTCAGGCAGGCTTAAAACTCACTATAAAGCTCAGGCTGGCCTTGAATTACAGGTATGATCAATCATGCCCCAAAGCAGGTAACTTTTAATAGGGATTAAACTTTCACTATGTTACAGTTCATTTATATAAAAATCTAGCTGAAATTTGAGCACTCATTAAAAAGTCATAATTTCAGAATTATGTAAGTAAAAATATCTAATGTGCTATATTTCACATATAAAGCACATTCAGTTTTGTGGGAGGTAGAGGCATAGATCTCTGTGAGTTCGAGATCAAAGTTCCAGGCCAGCTGGGGCTATAAGGGAGACCCTGTAATCAAAAAGACAAGAGAAAGAGATAGAGATAGATAGATAGAGATAGATAGATATATAGAGAGGTCTCAAATTACTTTTCGGATAACTCCCTTTCATTCTGGAGGCTGAGGCAGTTGTTCTGCTGTGAGTTCAGCCTTGCTTGGGCTAGACAGTTATAGGAAGCCGGTTCAAAAAAACCAAAACAAAACGAGTTTCTTTTAACTGCACAGGGACAGTGGATTACATCACACATTACTTGAGATACTCTAGGAATGCTTTTACACATCTTTGTGTTTTAATTTTCTTTCTGTGGTAGCTGAACGTTTCCCGTTTGAAATAGCAAGACAATTCTGTGGGAGACATCCACGTGGGCTGAGGCTGCATTTGGGGACTACAACTCCCAAGATGCCCCGCGGGTGAGCTGACAGGAAGTGGCCGGAGCATCTCCCGCCTCCACGCCGAGGCGAGGAGGTTCTATCCGGGGCCTTGGCGCTTCTCTTTCCTTTCGCGCCGGTTGCCGCTGCTGAGCGTGGCGGGTACATGTGCGCAGTGAGTGGCGCTATTTCTGGCTCAGAAGCACCGGTGTCCCGGGTTTGAGCGACCGCGCCGCGATGGATCCCAATACCATTATCGAGGCCCTGCGGGGCACCATGGACCCAGGTCTGCGCGAGGCTGCGGAGCGCCAGCTCAATGAAGTAAGGACTGCGGGCCAGCAGCGGCGGCGGGCTGGCGGGTGGCAGGCCGAGTCTTTCGGGCCTGCCGGAGGCGTGGAACGCGGCGCCCAGGGGCCCAGCTGGAGCGGTGGGGTGGGAGCTGGCGGCCGTACCACGCCGGGGCGCCTCGCTGTGCGCCCCGGCCTCCCGGCTGCCGTCGCGTCGGATCCAGAGCTGGGCCTCCGGCTGCGGTCGGGGCGTGAGCCGGGCCAGGCGGGCGTGACGGGCTGGACACATGGCCGCCCGGTGGCCCGCCGCCCTCTGGCTCGCTCCCAGCTGGTTCTCTGCGCCCAGGAGGGGGCGAACCTCGCTGGAGGGTTTTCGGACGTGTCCGACAGCAGTCTGGCAGGCGCGGCGTCTGCAGGGGCTCCTGGGAAGGCGGCGAGTCCACTGGGGGCTGCGCCTGTGAGTCTGGGCTCTGCTCCGGGGTGTTGAGGGACCTGCCTTTCTGGTACAACTTCCTTCTCGCCGGCGAGCTGCTGGGGACATTTCAAATGCTAGCCTGCGTCTCCTTGGCAGGGGCTGGGTAGTGCGGGTTACACAGATCCCTGCTCCTCTACTGTCACGGTGCCACAGATGGGAGGCGGGGTGATGGAGTGGAAAGGGTCAGGTGGAGTGCGCTCTTCCAGGTGTAGCTGCACCACTGATTTCTGGAGTGACCTTGGGCAAGTCTCGTAACCTCCTGATCCTGAGTTTTACTCATTCATGAAATTAGGCCACAGGATTGCTGTGATGGTCAATGCGATAATCTAAGTCTGCCTCTAGTTCAGATGCTGCGTTTGCTGAGAGTTGATGTCTTTTCTCCGCCACGTTTTGAGGAGGACCCCTTAGCAAACAGTACTAATTTTATATATTAATAACCGTTTTAGAGGTTCATAAAAAGACCTCTAAGAGTAATTGTATCGTGCTATACTACTGAATGTCGATTTTAGTGAGGTTTAGTGTACATTTTTTAACCTAAAGAGAAGCTTCAATTTAAAGAAGTTGTCGAGGAATCCACTTATCTGGTAGGTAAATAATTTAAAAACACACTGACCTAAAGCACCAGGGAGACTACAAGTGAACAACTTTTATGTACAGTGCTGTACTAGCTATCTCTAACCTCTTGGAAGTTAAAGTTCAAGAAGACCACCCCACAGTTCAGATGACTAGTGAAATTATTTCAAAATGAAAAAGTGAATCTTACATGTAAATGAGACTATTGTTATACTGAAGGTTGATTGCACTCTCAAATTCTTAGACTCAAAGTCACCTTGGGAAGAGCTTATATTTGGATATAAAATAGTAAGGTGAAGCAAACTGTCCCTTTGAGAGCTTTCTAAAACCACAGGAGGAATAGGGGGTCACTTGTTCTGTTTTTGTGATAGATCTTCATTACTGTGAACATTATTTTGCTTATGAAGTATTAATGCAGGTAAGAAGCTTAGAAAACCAACCTGGGTGTGGTGGCTCACACCTGAAATCCCAACACTGAGGCAAGAGGATTGCCCAGGAGTTTGAGACCAGCCTGGATTATAGAGTGAGACCCTGTTTCCAAAAAAATAAATCTAGACAATCTGAAAGTTTTTCATAGGCATTTCTGCTATAAATATTTGTCATGCAGGTCTTAAAATTGTTACTTAATACTTAACTGGTAGGGGAGCTACCATGATCAAGAAGTTAGTTTTTCGAGGGCATGTCTCAGACATTGTACTTGCTATGTGCTGACCCCTGCAATTTCCCTAACTGTGGGAAACTTGACTGTGTACTTTGTGACAGTGTGGTACTTTATTCTTGCTCTCCCCTGTGAAAAAAGAATTGCTGCTTAAAAGAATAGACTTCTTTTGCATGAAAGGATAAATAAATTTGAAATTTATTCTGCAAACAGGAACTGCATGTCTTGCTTGGTTTGTTTTGTTTGCTCTTTGTTTCTTTTTTTAAAGATGTGTGTTTGTGTGTGGGTGTGTGTGCTGTGTTCCATGCCTGCAGAGGCCAAATGAGGGTGTTGAGCCCCTAGAACTGGAGTTAATAGGCCATTGTAAGTCATCTTGATTCTGGGAACTGAACTTAGATCCTCTGGAAGAGCAGCAAACTCTTGTAACCACTGAGCTATCTCTTCTAGCCCGTATTAGTTTTTTCAAACACAGTTTTATTCTCTAGCTCAGGTTCACCCCAAACTCTTGAAGAATCCTGCCTCCAGGAGGATTGTCTTCCACCACACCTAGCTTTGCTTGTGTAGTTATATCCACTGACACAGTAAGGACCTGGGGAAATATTTCACAAACGAGATTCTGGAAGAGAAGCAAATAAACAAAATAGCCATCAACCCCCCCCCCTTTTTTTTTTTTTTTTTACCCATTGAGCTGCTGTTCTGGAATACCGTGGAATAATAAGCACTAATCATCTTCTCTGCCAAAGGAAATGTGTTATCTGGCCTGTATTTCTATATGTAGGCCTTTATTTCTCATATTCTTTCAATGATGACAGTTTTTTGTTTTTTTTGTCTTTTTGAAGCAGGGTCTCCCTGTAGCCCCAGCTGTCCTGGAACTCACTATGTAGACCAGGCTGGCCTTGAACTCACAGAGATCCTCCTGCCTCTGCCTCCCAAGTGCTGGGATTAAAGGTGTGTGCCACCACACCTGGCCTACAGTTAGATTTTTTGGGGGGTAATTTTCCTTAGGTAACTTTTAGAATATTTACTGATTCAGGAAACAACCCCTAGGTAAGTCTTGAAGAAGGAGGAAGTGACATTTTACTTTTTTTTTTTGAGACAGGGTCTCCCTGTGCCCCCAGCTGTCCTGGAACTCGCTATGTAGACCAGGCTGGCCTTGAACTCACAGAGCTCTGTCTGCCTCTGCCTCCCAAGTGCTGGGATTAAAGGCGTGTGCCACCACAGCCGGCTGACATTTTACTTTTGAGAGGCTTTGCTTTCTAGATGGTAAAGTACACAGTTTATCTTCCATTTACTGAAGCTGTATTTTACTCAAGTTTAAAAAGATCATTGACATTTGGGTATCTTCACTAAGGGAGGTAATCATTGACTAAGAATTGGAGATGTTTTCTAATTTTATTTGGTTTCTTTTCTTTAAATTTATTTTATTTATGTGTTTAAATATATTGCCTACATGTATGTAAGCGTACCTGTGTTGTTCAATGCCAGAGGAAGGCAGAAGAGAGCCTTGGATCGCCTGGAACTGGACGGTTGTTAGCTGCCATGTGAGTGCTGGGAAATGAACCTAGGTCCTCTGCGAGAGCAGCCAGTGCTCTTAACCATTGAGTCCTCTCCAGCCCCGATTTTTATTATTTTTATTTTATGGGTATGAATGTATTGCCTGCATGTGTGTAAGTGCAACCATTTTGTGCAGTGCCAGGGGAGGTCAGAAGAGGGAGTCAGAGCCCCTGGAACTGGAGCTAACTACTTGTTAGCTGCCCTGTGGGTGCTGGGAATCGAATTCTGGTTCTCTGCAAGAGCAACCAGTTCTCTTAACTGCTGAGCCATCTCTTCAGCCCCTTGTTTGGTTTCTTGAGACACAGGATCTTTGAAGCCCTGACTGAACAGTTGTTCATAGAGATCCACCTGCCTTTGCTTCCTGAATGCTGAGATTAAAGGCATCTACCACCATGGCTGGCTTTTCAAAGTTTTATTTAATTTGAAAATAAACAGTGTTCTGGCCACTGACCACATGCTTAACTTTTTCATGTTTCATTTATCTTCTTGACTTTATCCTTCATCCTTATATCTCTGTTCAGATGTCTTCAGGAGGAGTTCCCGAAGTTTTCTGACTACATTTCCTATCTCCTTTCCCTTGTTTTTCTCTATGGCAAACGATGTAGGGCTTTGAGCTCATGAATATCATCCTCATTTAAAGGGCATTTGGTTATTTCTACTTTTTGTATTACATGTAGATAAAATTGAGAAAATGGCTTTAAGATTTACCAAGAACTTTTTTCCTTCTGAGGCATGGTCTTTTTCAGGCAGCCCTCAACGACTTGAATGAGTTGAAGAGGTGATTGGAGTTTGTTTCTTCATCAGTCTTCTGCTCTCTTAGTCACTGAGATCACTATTAGGTAGCTGTATTGTCAGGAAAATTGACACAACTGTAGGACTACAGTGACTGGCACCTAATAGACTCAGTAGATATTTGTGGAATGAAGAAAGACATAAGAACCTAAAGTAGATATGTTAAGAGTACTCATTTAAAAAAAATTTTTTTTTTTTTTGGCCTTTTTGAGACAGGGTCTCCCTGTAGCCCCAGCCGACCTGGAACTCACTATGTAGACCAGACTGGCCTTGAACTCACAGAGGTCTGCCTGCCTCTGCCTCCCAAGTGCCTGGATTAAAGGCGGGCGACACCATGCCCGGCTCATTTTAAAATCTTTTAAGTACGTTTCTGGCCAGGAACCGCAGCTAAACAGCTGTAATCTCTGTTTGGGAGGGTGAGGCAGGAAGATTGCAGTGAGTTAGAGGTCGTCTAGGTTACATATAGTTCCAGGTCAGTCTTGATTAAAAAGTGAGACTGTCTCAAAATAAAGTAAATAAATACAAAAGTCAATGTCATAGTGATCTGTTACTTCGTTTGAGTGCTATAATTTGGAGATTGAGTTGCATATATCTCGAAGTGGAATTTTTCTTTTTTTTTTTTTTTTACACCTGTGTCATACAATGGCCATAGAGGTCAGAAGAGGGCATTGGATACCCTGGAATTTGGATCCCCTGGAACTGGAGTTACAGATAGTTGTTAGCCACCTGTGGGTGCTGGGAATTGAACCCAGGTCCTCTGTAAGAACAGTCAGTGCTCTTAACTGTTGAGCCCACGCCCGGCTAAAATTTATTTATTTTTAAAATATTTTATTTATTTTTATTTTATGTTTTGAGTGTATTGCCTGCTTGTGTGTAAGTGCTCCTATGTTATACAGTGCCTGCAGAGATCAGAAGATGGTATCGGATCTCCTGGAACTGGTGTTAGGAATGGTTGTTAGCTGCCAGGTGGGTGCTGGGAATCAAATCCAGGTCTTCTGCAAGAGCAGTCAGTGCTCGTAACTGCTGAGCCATCTCTCTAGCCCCCTAAAATTAATTTTGTATCTGTAGGTCAGAGGACAGCTTGTGTGAATTGGTTCTCGCCACTATGCCTTTTCTGTTTGGTCTTTTTTGAGACAGGGTCTCCCTGTAGCCCCAGCCAGCCTGGAACTCACTCTGGAGACTAGGCTGGCTTTGATTTCACCGGGATCTGTCTGCCTCTTGCCTCCCTAGTGCTAGAATTAAGCATGTATTACCATGCCAGGCTCACTGAGCCATCTTGCTGGTTCTGTTTTTATTCCTTTTTTTTTTTTTTTTTTTTTTTTTTTTTTTTTTTTCCTTACTTACTGTGTAGCTAGTTGGCCTGGAACTCACTATGTAGACCAGGCTGGCCTCAAACTCTCAGAGATCTACCTGCCTGTCCCTCTCAGGTGCTGGAATTAAAGGCGAACACCACCACTCCACTCTTTTTATTTTTAAACTTGAGAGTGTACCCTCAATAAATGTTACGTTATTTAGTAAGTATTTAGGAGAAGAAATCTTGAGTATATATGTGTCAAATAACAATTCTGGTTTTTTAAAAATACTTATTTTTTATGTATATGAGTGTATTGCCTGTATGTGTGCACCCATTTCATGCAGTGCCTACAAAGGTCAGAAGAAGGCATTGTATCTCTTGGAACTGGAATTGCAAATGGTGGTTGTTAGCTACTGTGTGGTTTCTGGGTACCTAACCTGAGTCCTCTGCAAGAGCAACCAGTGCTTGTAACTGCTGAGCCATCTTTCCAGCCCCTGGTTATTTTGTTTTGAGACAGGGTCTTACTATGTAGCCCTGCCTTGCAACCCACCTGCCTCTGCCTTCTGAGTGCTGGGCTTAAAGCTGGTTTTGTTTGCTTGTTTGTCTTGGGTCTCCCTGTAGCCCCAGATGTCCTGGAACACAGTATGTAGACCAGGCTGGCCTTGAACTCACAGAGATCCGCCTGCCTCTGCCTCCTAAGTGCTGGGATTAAAGGCATGTGCCACCACGCCCGGCTTATTTTTATTTTATGTGTATGTCTGTTTTGCCTGCATGTAGATGAGTGCACCCATGTCATGCAGTGCCCACAGAGGTCAGAAGAGGCTGTCAGATCCCCTGGGACTGGAGTTATGGACAGTTGTTAGCTGCCATTTGAGTGCTGGGATTTGAACCCGGGTCTTCTGCAAGAACAACCAGTGTTCTTAACCGCTGTACCATCTCTCCAGCCCTGATGTTTTGTATTTTAAACTATCTTGAGTCCTGGGATAATTATTACAAGTGATTATTTTCACTACTATGGTGTGCTTATTCATATATTTTTTTGAGAGATAGGATCTCACATAGCCCAGGTTGACCTCAAACTTGCTATATAGCTAAGGATAACTGATCCTCTTGCCTCAGATTCCTGAGAATTGGGAGTATGCTCAGAATATCCATGACTAACCTGTGTTTTTTTTTTTTAATAGGATCTTTAAAGCCAGGTGTGGGTTCAAGGCAGCCTGGTCTCCATGGTGAATCTAGGCTAGCTGTGGCTACAGGGAGATTCTATCTCAAAAAGACCCCCCCCCCCCAAAAAAAAAACCCCATAATTTTTAAAAGATTTTTATCATGTTGTCATGTGTATGAGTGTTTTGCCTGCATGTATGTCTGTGTATTAGTGTGACTGATGCCATTGAAGGCCAAAGAGAGCATTGAATGCTACTGGAGTTTCAGATGGTTGAGCAGCTGCAATATAGATGCTGAGAACTTGACCTCGATGGGCTCTGCAAGAATA